CTCCACGCCTGAGGGGGGAGGCTCCGAGCACTCCTTCCGAGACGGCCCGCCCCGTCTCGCCGCCCCGCGTCGCTCGCCGCCGCTGCGTGCCTCGCTCCGCGAGGGCCCGAGAGAGCGGCCCCCCGCCCCCTGAGGCGAAGGGCCCCCCCTCCCTGCAGGCGGGGGCTCTCGGGGCGCAGCTCGGGCCTGCTCAAGTTCAATACAGAAAACTACTATCATGCACAGAACTCTACCGATGTTCTCGGAATAGTTCCTGGTTTACCTCGCACCACGAGCTCTCGCCGATGCAGATAGATGTTTCTCATCATGCTGAATGCATCGGTGCAAATCAGCCCACGGGCGGCGGCTCGGGGCGCCCCCAGCGGGGGGGAGCCGACGGAGAGCCCCCCGTGGGGCCCGAAGAGCCTCGCCCCATCAGGCGAAGACCGCATTAGATGCAATGAACAAGGGGCGCTGATCCTCAAAGAAATAACCTGAGCATTTTGTTCGGGTGGAGGGCTCAGGGTGAAATCCATATGGGTTTTTGCACCTCGAAAGTCAATCCGTCTTGTGGCTCACCTTTTGCAGACTCGGGCCTCGAATATCCATCGAAACGGCACTTCAAATCTCACCCTTTGCCCTCCACCCCAAGAACATCCTCGGACACGGGTCAGCTCGATGGCCTGGCCCAGAGTCGGATCTCGGCGGGGTTGCACAATCTTCGGCAAAATGGTCGGCTCGGTCAGTGATATATGCTGAAGGGGCCCTGGGACACACACACACACAGAAATACAAATGACAGGATCCCCCATAGATTCCCACATCTTCTGGATTTTTGTCTTCCCCCTCCCACTTCCCCAAAGTTTCCCATATTTTCTAGAGATCGACGATTAGTTGTGTCCGTATACTCCAGATTTCGTAATAAAAGGGAGGGGGTCTGGACCCTCCAAGACAAGCCATTTCAGACCTCCCCCGTGGGAGAACCCTCCAAAACGTCGTCCCCAGACCCCCCCAGGCCCTCCAAGATGGCCTGGAAGAGACCCCCCCCGAAATGAGACCCCCTCCCTTTTTCCCCAAACAGCTTGCTGAACGGGGTGCTGTTGTGATAGAAGCTAACTCCGGCCGAGGGAAAGCTAAGCAGAGACATCCTCAAACAAATGTGGTGGTCCGGCCCGTTTCGCCTGAGACATCCTCACAACTCTCGTTTCTGAGTTGTCCGGGATTGAGCGTTTCGCCTGAGACATCCTCCTAAATCTGAGCTCTGAGAGGCCGCGCGAGAGGTGGTCCGGCCCGTTTCGCTTGAGACATCCTCCAAACTCTGAGCTCCCAGATGCCGCGCGAGAGGTGGTCCGGGCCGTTTCGCCTGAGACATCCTCGCAACTCTGAGCTCCAAGATGCCGCGCGCGAGGTGCTCCGGCCCGTTTCGCCTGAGACATCCTCGAAACTCTGATCCCCCCGATGCCGTGCGCGAGATGGTCCGGCCCGTTTCGCTTGAGACATCCTCGAAACTCTGAGCTCTGAGATGCCGCGCGAGAGGTGGTCCAGCCCATGTCGCCTGAGACATCCTCGAAACTGTGAGCTCCAAGATGCCGCGCGAGAGGTGGTCCGGCCCGTTTCGCCTGAGACATCCTCGAAACTCTGATCTCCCCGATGCCGTGCGCGAGGTGGTCCAGCCCATTTCGCTTGAGACTTCCTCGCAACTCTGGGCTCCGAGATGCCGTGCGCGAGGTGGTCCAGCCCATTTCGCCTGAGACATCCTCGCAACTCTGAGCTCTGAGATGCCGCGCAAGAGGTGGTCCAGCCCGTTTCGCCTGAGACATCCTCGCAACTCTGAGTTCTGAGATGCCGCGCAAGAGGTGGTCCAGCCCATTTCGCCAGAGACTTCCTCGCAACTCTGGGCTCCGAGATGCCGTGCGCGAGGTGGTCTGGCCCGTTTCGCATGAGACATCCTCGCAACTCTGCGCTCTCTGATGCCGCGCGAGAGGTGGTCTGGCCCGTTTCGCTTGAGACATCCGCCAAACTCTGAGCCCCGAGATGCCGCGCGCGAGGTCTTCTGGCTCTTTTCGCCTGAGACCTCCTCGAAATTCTGGGCTGACAGGCCGCGCGCGAGGTGGTCGGGCCCGTCTCGCCTGAGACATCCTCCAAACTCTGGGCTCTGAGTTGCCGTGCGCGAGGTATTCCGGCCCGTTACGCCTGCGACATCCTCGCAACTCTGAGCTCCCAGATGCCGCGCGAGGAGTGGTCCGGCCCGTTTCGCCTGAGACGTCCTCGCAAGTCTGAGCTCCCAGATGCGGCGCGAGAGGTGGTCTGGCCCGTTTCGCATCAGACATCCTCGAAGTTCTAGGCTCTGAGATGCCGTGCGAGAGGTGGTCCGGCCCATTTCGCCTGGGACATCCCCCAAACTCTGGGCTCAGAGATGCCGTGCGAGAGGTGGTCTGGCCCGTTTCGCCTGAGACATCCTCCTCTCTCTGGCCCGTTTCGCCTGAGACATCCTCCTCTCTCATTCCTTCTCCCGCCTCCAGCCTCCCGCTGCTGCGCCTGTGCCTCCGCCTCCCCGTCCCCGCCTGTGCCTCTCAGTCCTGCGCCTCTGCCTTAGAAACATGTCAATCTGTTCTTTACATCCATACCGCTTGTCGGCGGTTGATCCGCCTGCCCCCTCCCAGTTGGCATGGGGATCGCCGTGGTGGTTGCAGTATTGAAGCGTCAGTGCGGCGGTCTTTAACGAGGCCTCCGACCAAGGCGTTCCATCCAGGGCAACCAGGGCGACAAAGGGATAACCATCACGACATGCCCCCGCGTTTCCTTGCCCTTCCCCGTTTCCTCTTAAAGTTGCTTCCGAGTTCACAGCGTAGCGGTAGAGCCTGTGACAGTGCCGACCCGACAGCTTTCTCGTCGACCAGGTGCGAAGGAGGGAAGAGGGAACGAGTACGACACCCTCAAGCGCTAGCTTCCTGAGAGGCATGCGTCACACATATTCATGTTCAAACATCTCATGTGCAAACATCTCATGTGCAAACATCATGTTATCATGTTCTACCCTGCCATGCCAGCCCGCACTGGACGGGCACGCAATCGACCTTGGAATCCGCAGTGGGTTTGAAAACCCTGTTTGGGGATACTGCACTCCGGCTATAATTTTACGAAATCTGGAGAAATTATTTTCCCTTCTGATATACGGATACGTGTTGTCCCCGGACCTCTCTTGGGGTGCGTTCTGACCAGAATTTCGAGGCGAATCCAGCGGCGACAACGAGGATTCCCCAGGAGGACCAGGAAAGGCCGAAAACAAAGGGGGACAACACGTATCTGTATCTTTTTCTCCCCCGAATAATTTGTTTCCCTTCTGATGTACGTCGGCTGCCCCCCTTCAGCGCGACCGCATCGCCGGGCTGCGCGGCGCGGGCGGGCACGGAGCTGCGACGCCCCCGCGCCGCAGCGGGCCCTCCGGAGGTCCAAAATGGCCGGCGGGAGGGCCGGGCCGAGCGGCGAGGACGCGGAGGGCACCCCTGGGGAAGTGGCAGCATCGGGGTGACGCAAGACTCCAGACACCTTGGGGTTATTTGCAACGCGCCATTTTGGCAGCGTAGTTACAGACTCCCTGGGTGCTGGTCCCTGGGCGTCAGACACCCTGGGTTGCAGCACCCTTGCACCCGCCGCCCCGGCGCCGGCCGCGGCCCGCGCGCGCGTCCGGCCAATTAGTTTCGGCCGCAGCCCGACCGTTACTCGCCGCCGCTGGCGCTTCCGCCCGCGGCTGTAAAAAAAGGAGACGTAAGACTCGGCTACGGGGGACTCGGGCTGGCCCGACGGGGCCGTCACAAAAATGACGAGGCCCAATCTGAAATTTGGCGCGAGCTCCCGCTGCAGACATCCCACGAAAACTGGACCGCCAAAATCCAGGACGCGCTCGTCAAGAAAACGCCGGCAAACCCGAGTTCCGGCTTACTCGGGTCTTGCGTTTCCCCGACAGTAGGGGCCCCACCACGAGAAACCTGGCACAGGAAACCGAACCCTAAGACCCTGGGGCGTCCATGAATGTTTGGTTGTGGGAACGCCACGCCTCCCGTCGCAAAGGCATCGCCACCCAAGAAACCCAGGGCACCCTGGAGGCAGGCAGGGCGTTTCTTGGCATGGGTCTCCACTGCACTGCTCATCCTTGTGATGTGAGGTGGGGGCGGTGGAGCGGGTTGGAGGCGGCCAGGGGCCCGAGGAGATCGGTCGGGAGGGGAGATGCAGCCAGATCCGCTCAAAGTCGGTCCCCAGGCCCCTCCCGGGGTCTCTCTGGTGCGGCTGCTCGCCCCCGATACTTTCTGATGGTCAGGTGGCCACAAATGAAGCGAGGGGGCCACGGAGGGCAGCGAGGGGGCCACGAAGGGCTGCAACGGGGCCACGAAAGGCAGCGAGGGGGCCACGCAGGGCTGCAACGGGGCCACGAAGGGCAGCGAGGGGGCCACGAACAGGCTACAACGGGACGACGGGGCCACAAACGGGCTACAACGGGGCCACGAATGGCAGCGAGGGGGCCACAAACGGGCTACAACGGGGCCACGAAGGGCAACGAAGGGGCCACAAACGGGCTACAACGGGGCCACGAAGCGCAGCGACGGGGCCACGAAGGGCTGCAACGGGGCCACGAAGGGCAGCGAGATCCCAATTCGTAAATAAGCTGCGAGGGAGTCCTCAGCGTGAGCGCGACTCCTTGTCGGGAGCGCGGCGCTTGAATAAATCGCTGGCAATTCCAACGCAACAGCGCGATTCTTGAGTAATTTGTAAGCTGATCTCCATCGAGAGCGCGATCCCCAAACAGGGTATTTGAACAGTATCCCCAAACAGGGTTTTTAAACCCACTGCGGATTCCAAGGTCGATTGCGTGCCCGTCCAGTGCGGGCTGGCATGGCAGGGTAGAACATGATAACATGATGTTTGCACATGAGATGTTTGCACATGAGATGTTTGAACATGAATATGTGTGACGCATGCCTCTCAGGAAGCTAGCGCTTGAGGGTGTCGTACTCGTTCCCTCTTCCCTCCTTCGCACCTGGTCGACGAGAAATCTGTCGGGTCGGCACTGTCACAGGCTCTACCGCTACGCTGTGAACTCGGAAGCAACTTTAAGAGGAAACGGGGAAGGGCAAGGAAACGCGGGGGCATGTCGTGATGGTTATCCCTTTGTCGCCCTGGTTGCCCTGGATGGAACGCCTTGGTCGGAGGCCTCGTTAAAGACCGCCGCACTGACGCTTCAATACTGCAACCACCACGGCGATCCCCATGCCAACTGGGAGGGGGCAGGCGGATCAACCGCCGACAAGCGGTATGGATGTAAAGAACAGACTGACATGTTTCTGAGGCAGAGGCGCAGGACTGAGAGGCACAGGCGGGGACGGGGAGGCGGAGGCACAGGCGCAGCAGCGGGAGGCTGGAGGCGGGAGAAGGAATGAGAGAGGAGGATGTCTCAGGCGAAACGGGCCAGAGAGAGGAGGATGTCTCAGGCGAAACGGGCCAGACCACCTCTCGCACGGCATCTCTGAGCCCAGAGTTTGGGGGATGTCCCAGGCGAAATGGGCCGGACCACCTCTCGCACGGCATCTCAGAGCCTAGAACTTCGAGGATGTCTGATGCGAAACGGGCCAGACCACCTCTCGCGCCGCATCTGGGAGCTCAGACTTGCGAGGACGTCTCAGGCGAAACGGGCCGGACCACTCCTCGCGCGGCATCTGGGAGCTCAGAGTTGCGAGGATGTCGCAGGCGTAACGGGCCGGAATACCTCGCGCACGGCAACTCAGAGCCCAGAGTTTGGAGGATGTCTCAGGCGAGACGGGCCCGACCACCTCGCGCGCGGCCTGTCAGCCCAGAATTTCGAGGAGGTCTCAGGCGAAAAGGGCCAGAAGACCTCGCGCGCGGCATCTCGGGGCTCAGAGTTTGGAGGATGTCTCAAGCGAAACGGGCCAGACCACCTCTCGCGCGGCATCAGAGAGCGCAGAGTTGCGAGGATGTCTCATGCGAAACGGGCCAGACCACCTCGCGCACGGCATCTCGGAGCCCAGAGTTGCGAGGAAGTCTCTGGCGAAATGGGCTGGACCACCTCTTGCGCGGCATCTCAGAACTCAGAGTTGCGAGGATGTCTCAGGCGAAACGGGCTGGACCACCTCTTGCGCGGCATCTCAGAGCTCAGAGTTTCGAGGATGTCTCAGGCGAAATGGGCTGGACCACCTCTTGCGCGGCATCTCAGAGCTCAGAGTTTCGAGGATGTCTCAAGCGAAACGGGCCGGACCACCTCGCGCACGGCATCGGGGAGATCAGAGTTTCGAGGATGTCTCAGGCGAAACGGGCCGGACCACCTCTCGCGCGGCATCTTGGAGCTCAGAGTTTCGAGGATGTCTCAGGCGAAATGGGCTGGACCACCTCTCGCGCGGCATCTCAGAGCTCAGAGTTTCGAGGATGTCTCAAGCGAAACGGGCCGGACCACCTCGCGCGCGGCATCTCAGAGCTCAGAGTTTCGAGGATGTCTCAGGCGAAACGGGCCGGAGCACCTCGCGCGCGGCATCTTGGAGCTCAGAGTTGCGAGGATGTCTCAGGCGAAACGGCCCGGACCACCTCTCGCGCGGCATCTGGGAGCTCAGAGTTTGGAGGATGTCTCAAGCGAAACGGGCCGGACCACCTCTCGCGCGGCCTCTCAGAGCTCAGATTTAGGAGGATGTCTCAGGCGAAACGCTCAATCCCGGACAACTCAGAAACGAGAGTTGTGAGGATGTCTCAGGCGAAACGGGCTCAGGCGAAACGGGCCGGACCACCACATTTGTTTGAGGATGTCTCTGCTTAGCTTTCCCTCGGCCGGAGTTAGCTTCTATCACAACAACACCCCGTTCAGCAAGCTGTTTGGGGAATAAATCGCTGGCAACTCCAACGCAATAGCGCGATTCTTGAATAATTTGTAAGCTGATCTCCATCGAGAGCGCGACTCCAGAGCGCCGAGAGAGCGATTCCTGAATAAATTGTAAGGAGGTCCCAAGCGAGAGCGCGAATCCTGAGTAACATGCGGGGAAATCTCATGCGGGAGCCATTGTTGTTGTAATGCGGGGGCCAACTGCGCAGTTTGAGCTTAGTGACTTTCCTGGATAAAAAACAAAGTGCGAGCCCTGGGGGAAGCACTTCAATGGAAGAAACACAATGGTCACAGAAGGGGGATCAACAATAATTATTTCCAATAACCCTGCGGCTGCACCCTCCGCACCTTCCGCGACAAAGTTCGAGCTCTTTTGCTGTCATGCCCCATTCCTGTTCGATGAGTTACTTAAGGTTTTCACTGTTTGTACTGGGTTTTGGCTAGTTTCAGAGAGTTCCACAGACACCCGAAGACATGATAAGACACATCTGTTTGTCATTATTATCGCCGTCGCTATCGCCAACGCAATCGCCGCGATCATCATCATGATCATGTTCGTCATCATCATCATCAGCATCGTCGTCATCGTCATCATGTCGCCATCATTACCAGCAGCAAAAGCATCATACGAGCCTCATCGCCATCATCATTCGTCCGCATCACCATCACCAGCAGCATCATCATAACCACCAGCATGCTATCATCGGCATCATCATCACCATCATTAGCATCATCATCGCCACCGTCATCGAGCGTCATCAGCATCACAGCCTCGTTACATCACCATCGATCCCATCATCCATGCCTTGGGAGGCCCTGCGCGCCCCAAGATGCTAGAGCACGTGGATCACCGAACACTTGGAGCCTCTGGAACCCTTGGACCCCCTGGCGCCCCAGACCCCTATCAACCCTTAGGCCCTGGGAGGCCCTGGTCGCCCCAGAGACCCTGGAGCCTTTGGAACACTTGGAGCCTCTGGAACCATTGGAACCCCCTGGAGCCCCAGACCCCTAGACTGAACCCCTAGGCCCTGGGGGGCCCTGAGCGCCCCAGAGACCCTGGAGCCCCTGGAACACTTGGAGCCTCTCGAACCCCGAGAGCACCTGGACCCCGACCCTCAGACTGGTCCCCTAGGCCCTGGGGGGCCCTGAGCGCACCAGAGCCCCGAGCCCCTGGAGCCACAAGACAGCCCGAGCGTCCGAGATCCCGACACCTAGACCCCATGCAGGAGCGGAGTGGTTGCGCCGAAAGGCATCGGAGAATATTAGGTGTGGTAACAAAGAACGGGCATATAATAGAAAATCGCATGGCGAAGCCTTGTCATCGATCTGTTGACAAAGAATGGGATGTGTAAATCAACGGGCACTGGCCAGACGCAGATGCATGTGATAACCGACAGCCGACATCCGACGACAACATGCTCGTGCACGCGCGGCAGCGCATATCAAGCTGGAGCGGTGCGCGATCAGCGCCTCCCGCAGAAAAAAAACGAGGCGCAGTGCCCGTAAAGGATTGGGCTACCTTTTGGTAGTTGAGACCACGGATGCACGTGTGTGTGTATATATATATATATGTATGCCACAAGCGAAGCGCGCAGGATGAAGTCCCAAGCGACGCGCTCAAAACGCTTTTCATGCTACACCTGTTGCCCCTGGGGACACGTGAACCTCTGGTATGTGGCCACTGGAACTCCTGAACCCATGATGCGCCCGACTTGACCAGCACATATGGCCATGGAAGGCCCTGAGCGCCCCGAAGCATTGGAGCACCTGGGGCCCCTGAGACACTTGACGCCCCTGGAACCATTGGAACCCCTGGAGCCCCAGACCCCCAGACTGAACCCCTAGGCCCTGGGAGGCCATGAGCGCCCCAGAGACCCTGGGGCCCCTGGAACACTTGGAGCCCCTGGAACCCCGAGAACACCTGGAGCCCCCGACCCTCAGACTGGTCCCCTAGGCCCTGGGAGGCCCTGAGCGCACCAAAGCCCCGAGCCCCTGGAGCCACAAGACAGCCCGAGCATCCGAGATCCCGACACCTAGACCCCATGCAGGGGCGGAGTGGTTGTGCCGAAAGGCATCGGGGAATACTAGTTGTGGTAACAAAGAACGGGCATCGATCTGGCAACAGAGAATCGCATGGCGAAGACTTGTCATCGATCTGTTGACAAAGAAAGGGATGTGTAAATCACAAAACTGACACCACCGATGAGGAGCGACACGCCCATGGGCATGCCATCCACGACGGCAGCCGAGCACAGCGCACGCTTGACAACACGAGGGCTACGCACAGACGTGCTTGCGCACAAAATGGGAGGCGGTGCCCTCCCCACCGCTGGGAGCACCGATGACCCAAGCGAAACGCACAGGAGGAAGACCCAGGCGAAACGCCTAGGGCGCTTGTTTCATGCTATACCTGGAACCCCTGGAGCACCTGTAATCCCTGGAACAATTTAGGCCACTCCTGGAACCCATGGGGCACCCTTTACATCGGGAGTGGTGGTGTGATAGTAGAAGGAACTAGGGTGCCTCTTCGAGAACTCGCCATCGCTCGAGCCGTTCGCTCCCCGCACAGTTCGTTTTTTGTTCGCGAGTCCAGCAGCGGCGACGAGGACGCTTCGACGCTCGACATTGAGGGTTCGAGCTGGGGACCACATGTACCAAAAACTACAGTTTGATATAACTGTCCCACCAGCCGCATATCAGCGATCTCACGCCCGAAGGATGCCGATAAACTGGTGGGCGCGCAACCGTTCTCACCTCATCTGGACGCTGAACTCGCGGTCGTGCTGAACCAGCCTGTCGGGCGCTACTTGGTTGAGTATGATGCGCATCGCGGCCAGCTCCTCGCCTAGTTCGTAAGTCTCGATGTGCAGCGCACGAATCTCTTGAGCCTTGCTCTCCAGTGCCTCGGGTGTGTGCGCTGGCGGGGCAGATGGAGGATGGCGCAGAGCGCTCGGGCTTACGGGTGGTTGCGGTGAGGAGGGCGGGGGATGAGGACGAGGAGGAAGAGGACGCGACTGGCGAGGGCCAGGATGCGGATCGGACGAAGGGGGGTAGGCGAAGGACGAGTAACGGCACATGCGGCGCGCGCCAAGGCAGGAGAGAAGGGCAGTCCAGCATTGTTGTTGCACCCGATCCCGCCTGGGTGCGCGCCGCATCTGCGTCTCGCAGCTGCTGCAAGAGCCTCGCGATCTCGTCAATCAGGGCCTTCGTGCCAGACATCGGAAGTCGGGGTGGCGCAGCGCTGCGTGAGTGCGACGGGGCTCGCTCTCGGGTGGCGGGCCCCATTGGGCCAACGCGTCAAGGACGCCGACCCGCATCCTTCTCATCGCTCTCCTCCTCCCCCTGCTCCTCCTCCTCCTCTTCCTCCTCCTCCTCCTCCTCCCCGTTCCTTCTCCTCCTCTTCCGTCTCCTCCTCCCGATCCTCCTCGTCATTCACCCTCCTCCGCCTCATCGTCGCCAGCGTGGCCATCAGCATCGCCATCGGCACCGCCGCCATCATCATCAGCAGCATCAGGATCATTTGCAGCACCACAATCACCATTACCCTTACCATCATCAACATCATGATCATACTTATCGGCATCATCACCAACAACGGTATCGTCACCACCATACTCACCAGCATCACCACCCTACTCATCATCGTCATCATCAGCAGCCTCACCACCACGTCACAGTCGTCGCCATCGTCCTCAGCACCATCAGCAACATCATCGTCACAGTCACATTCATCACCACCATCACCATCACCACCACCATCCAAAATACCGACAGCACCACCATCATCACAGCCACCATTAGTACCGCCATCCGCGTCACCATCCTCGGCACCGCCCTCATCATCAGCACGTCGTCGTCACCATCAGCATCGTTACCATCGACATCGGTACAGTCACTACCACCGTCGCCATCACCATCACATCCGTGGGAGCATCATCACCATTATCATTGCCATCAGCATCGTCATCATCGCCAGCGCAATCATCGTTAATATTACCACCACCGTCGTCAGCACCATCGTCATCATCATCGCCACCATCACCGCCACTGCGGGCGACCCTGAGGGGGCCTGGGGGGAAAACTCAAACATTCGCGTTCTTCTCCTCGCCCTCCCCCTCCGCCGCCTTATCCCCTTCCTTCCCCCCCCACTCCTTCTCCTTGTCCTTCTCCCACTTTTCCTCGCCCGCATCGTTCCACTCCTCCTCTTCTTTCTCAAGCCTCCTCGTCATCACCAGCATCATCAGCATAATCAGCGACAGCACCATCACCATCCGCATCACCAACGCCATCGCCCACCGCATCGTCATCCGCATCAGCAGCATCATCAGTATCACCACCATCGTCGTCATCGCTCTCACCACCAGCATCGCCACCATCACCATGACCACCACCACCACCGTTAACATCGCCAGTGCCACCACCACCACCCTCATCATCAGCATCGTCAGCAGCAGCACGATCCTCGACAACGCCCTGATCAGCAGCAGCGTCGGCACCAGCAACACCAGCAACAACATCGTCATCATCATCATCCGTATCGTTCCTGTCGACATCAGCATCGTTATCGCCACCGCCCCCCACCACCAGTGCCATCATCATCGCCGCCGTCGTCAGCAGCATCTTCGTCACCATCACCATCACTGTCGTCAGCATCATCGCCATCGCCATCAGCATCGCCAGCAGCATCATCAGCACCGCCGCCGTGGGCAGACGAGTTTCGAACGCCTGTCGTTCCCCCTCGCGTCTCACCCCGTCCGCCTCATCATCCTCCACGCTGCCCCCGCCCCCATCAGAAACCTTTGCAGCCCCTGGGAAACCTGTGAAAACAGCCCCTGGGAAACCACGCGCCCCCTGGGGCACCGACTGCAAAACCACCCCCCCTTGGGAAACCGCGCGTCGCCGTGGCTCTCCCCCAGGCCCTCGCCCCTCGGAGCAAATCCGCGACAACCGCCGTGGCGCGCTTCCGTGCGCTGCCAGCTATCTGCGGAACACCGTTGCCGCGGGGAGGTGGGTGGGATAGGACTTCCTACATCATGCATATATGCACATACACACATATACCAATATATATATATATATATACATACACAAACATAAGTATAACCAAAACTACAGGTGGGTCCTTCGCCCACGTGGTGCTGATGTTTTTCAATGCTTGTCGGCCTGCTTCTGCAGGTATGACAGGTACCATTTGACCAAGCTGTTGACAGCGAACTTGGTCCGATTGGTGGAGGCTGCCCTCTTCCGAGTGTCGAAATTCTCAGACTCGCCCCGATAATTGTGGGACCACGCAGGGTTGCCAGCCCAACGGGCTTGGTCGACAATGTGCTTGCCGAAAACATGCCACTTCATCTGGCAGCTGCGGCCAGTGGCGATCCATGCGTTCATGGTCCGATCGACCACGGCTTGCAACTGTAGCAACGCTAACTCTTCCATGTTGCGGGGCTGCGACTTCATGATCGCGTAATACTCCACCATGCCCTGCCCACAGTCAACAGCTTTGCGCCGTCAAGCTGGACGGGGTCATGTCTGTCAAGTAAGTCTCGGCCACCTTTCTGTCTGAGGGTAAACACAACAAACGGTAACAGCGACCTGCTTTTGCCAGCCTTGAGCTTGAGATATGGGGAGTTCTCATCACCGAGCATCTGCACCTTCAGCCCGATCTGGCGCTCGCGATCTGGAACCCCCTTGGCTTTATAGTACTGCTTCAAGGCATCGCTCATGGCAACGTCCACCTCGTCATGGTCCGCATCCGTGAAATTGCCGAAATACCCAAGCCGAACGAGCAACCACAAAACCGTTGCCATGAAGTAGGCAAGAATACCAAGGTCAGCAACATGCATCGAATCGAACAAGAAATGCTCCAATCTCAAACCTGGAACGCCAGGCTGGACGCCCCGCACGGTAAACAACCGACTGATAAAGAGGAGGCTATTTGGGGGCCTCGTGTACACGAGCATCTGGCGACGTTCGGGCGGGAAATCGCTGCACCTCTGGCCGTGCCAGAAGTCTGGCCGCCCAGGAAGGGCGGGCTCAATGCGGCCCCCCCGCCGGAGGGCGGGAAACTCATGACGAATGTGCCGTTGGAGAATCACACCGCCACGTTTCCTCCTGATCACGCAATTATCCCGCAAAGTCTGGACTTGGCTGTCCTGCACGTCATGCAAGGCAAGCGTACTTTCAGCAGTGTCGATCAACCATTGATGTTTTCGTTTGCGCACTGGCGCTGAAAGGTCCGAAAACTCTGCGTGACTCTGAAAGCACCGCAAACAGCCAAACTTGCTGCGGTAGCCTGGTAAACCGAAGGTTTTCGGCATTTCGTCCAGATCCGCGCCTACCTCCACGAGAACAAAGCGGCAATTGCCGCGCACAGATGGGAACAATGGCCTTCCAGCCAACAGTCTTCGCCAGGAGTCCTCTGGCCAAGGCAGCCCTGTCGAGTCTCCTGCAGGCCAGTACCCTGCAGCAGCCACTTGGAAATCAAACGCGATCTTGTCTAGGAGAGGCTGGAGGGTGTGGGGCCCTCTGCACCCGCACCTGCAAAACATGCGGTGGTGGTACTGCCCCACGAGAATACGCTCATCCTGGTGAAGTGTGGACACGAAGAGCCGCCGCCCCGCAATAGAGACGCCAGCCACTGCGGCCCGAGATGGAGCCCCCTAGGGCGCGAAACGTGTGAGGAAGGTGCGCGCGTTAGCGGGTGCGAGCGCAGCCGCTGCGGCCGTCGGTGGAGCCACCCTATGGAGCCGCGAAGCGGGGGGCCGAAGGAGGGCGCCTGGCGGGCGCCTGGCTGGCCCGCGATCGGCTCGCGAACGGGCGGTCCTTTCCCTGGCTATATACCCAGGGAGCGGAAACATACCTTTATATTATATATATATATATATACATAGGCACATGTATGTGTATACGTGTACACACAGGGGGTCTCCGAAAAGCAAACGCGCAATATCCTCCGCACTCCTCCTCCCCCGAACCGCCACCCTCCTTCGAGGGTACCCGTGGCAACCCCACAAGACCCGACCACGCGTTTCCCGCGACCCGATCCCGAGCGGGGCCGCCAGAGGGCCCCAAAAAAAAGCACGCAGGCCGTGGCGGCCCGCTGGGGTGGGAAGGGTGGCCCCGCCGCCGTGCCGCTCCACGGCAGCCGCTAGGCTCGGCGGCGGGGTCCGCGGGTCAGGCGGGTTGGCACAGTGGCCATTGCATGAACCTCCCCCGCCTCCGCCGTAACCCCCCAAACCAAAGAGCAAGCCATGACATGCCATAGCATAGCACGCGTTAGTGCGCAAGCAGACGTCGTCGACGTTAAAATGTAATACGTTCCTCAGGCGAGGGCTGAGCGGCAAACCGCGCCTTCGATTGCCGAGGCCTGTGCTGGACCTCCAACGCAGGCCCTGGCAACCGAAGGCGCTGGCCCAACTCTGCCCATCCCCTTGCGCACCCCAAATGGCTAGGTTTTCGGATCTGGGCGCGCGGCCCGCCCCCACCCCGCCGACTCGCAACGGGTGTCCACAGGGAGCCTTCTTCTCGAATCCCCCCCCCCTGCCCCCGCGCCCCCCCTTCACCTCTCCCCTCCCATCCCCCCCCTCCCTCCCCCTCCCTTTTTTTGTCCGCCGCTCCTCCCCCTCTTAACCACCCCTCCCCGCCCGCCCCCGCCCCCCCCCCCCCTCCCCCCACCCCCCCCAACCTCCCCTCCCCCCCACGCCCGCCCATAAGGAAGAGGGTCATCCACCGCCGCCTCATCTCGCCCCGCGCCTCCTGGGGTGGCCAGGGGGCCATGGGTGAATAGTTGGCGCCGTCGTCGTATCCACCGCAGTCGTCGGGGTTCCCTATTGGGCTGCCAAACGTGTGAAGGGTTCGCCAAACTGGGCGCGTTGGGTGCGTGCGAACGCTGGCATGTAGGCCGTCGGTCGGGCCCCCTACGTGGCCGCGGGCGGCCGCCGATTGGGCCTCGGAGCGCGCGATGGGCGCGCAAAAATGAGCGGGGTGGGCGCGCGCGGGCGCTGGCATGCCCGCTTTCGGGCGTACCCCCGATGGGGCCACGAATCGCGTGGGGGGGCTGCCAAAATGGGCGCGGCGGGCGCGTGCGGGCGCTGGCGTCAGGGACCCGCATGGCGCCGCACAACGTGCGAGGGGCGCGCCAACGCGGGCGGTGCAGGCGCGTGCGAGCGCTGTCATGTGGGCACTCGGTGGCGCACCCTGTGGAGCCGCGAAGCGTGCGATGGGGCGCGCCAGCATGGGCGCGGTGGGCGCGTGCGAGCGCTGGCATTTAGGTCTTCGGCGGCGCCCCGCATGGGGCGCCGAAGCGCGTGGGGGGGCGCGCCGCAATGTGCGCGATGGGCACGTGCGAACGTTGACGTTTGGGCCGTCGGTGGGGCCCCCGATGGGCCGCGGAGCGTGCGTGTGGCGTGCCAAACTGCGCGCGGTGGGCGCCTCCGAGCGCTGGCATTTGCGCGTTCGGTAAGGCCCCACCGTGGGGCTCCGAAGCGCGCGAGGGGCGCGCCGAAATGACTGGGGCGGGCGCATGCTGACATATGCATTTGGGCCTTCGTCGAGGCGCCCCGCGGTGCCGCGAAACGCGCGAGTGGCGCGCCAAAATGGGCGCGTCGGGCGCGCGCGGGCGCTGGCATTTGGGCCTTCGGCGCCCCCCCCCCCGCCCCCCCCTCCCCCCACCCCTTATGGCGCGGCGAAGCGCGCGGGTGGGCGCGCCAACGTGGGCGCGGCAAGCGCGTGCGAACATTTGCATGTGGGACTTCGGTTGGGGCCCCCTGTGGGGCAACGAAGCGCGCGAAGGGCGTGTCAACTGGGTGCGGCGGGCACATGCGCATGCAAACGCTGGCAGTCGCGCCTTCGGCGGCGCCCCCTATGGGGCCGCGAAGCGTGCGAGGGGCGCGCCAACTGGGCGCCGCGAGCGCATGCGAGCGCTGCCCCCCCCCCCCCCCCCCCCCCCCCCCCCACACACACACACACGCACCCACCCACCCCCCCCACGCACGCGCACACGCAACACGCACGCGCACGACGCACGCGCACACGCACACGCACACACACACACACCCACACACACACACCACACACACACACACACACACACACACACCACACACACACACACACACACACACACACACACACACACACACACACACAACACACACACACACACACACACACCACACACACACACACACACACACACACCACACACACACACACAGCGCACTCCCCCTCCTCTCCCCACCCCTTCCCCCCGCGCCCCGCAATGGGGGCCCGAAGCGTGCGAGTGACGTGCCAAAAACAAATGCGGCGGGCGCGTGCGAGCGCTGTCATTTGGGCCTGCTGCGGGTGCTCCCTGTCGGTCCACGGGGCGCGCGAGGGGCGCGCCAAGCTGGGCGCGGCGGACGCGCGCGGACGCTGGCACGCGGTGCCCAACGAACCCCCCATCCCCCTCCACCCCCCCCCCCCCCTCACATACCGGCCCCCGCACCCCCCCTCCCCCCCCCCTTCCCCCCCCTCCCCCCCCCCCCCCCCCCCCCCCCCCCCACCCCCCACCCCCCCACCCACCCCACCACCGCCCCCCATCCCGCCCCCCCTCGCCCTTCCCCCCGCGCAGGGCAGCGGGGCGGGCGGGAGGGCGCGCCAACGCGGCGTGCTGTTCGGGGCGGGGGAGGGAAGGGAGAGGACGCGGGGCGCTCTGTCCCTGCACAGCGGCGACCCAACGCCGTAGGATGGGTGGGCAACAGCGCGAGTGCGCCACACTCGCGTCGCGCGCCGACGCGCCCTGCTGCATGCCGCAGTCCGCGACGGCCGCTTCCTCGGGGCGCGCGCGCCTCGGCGATCGGCCGCGCGCCCCCCCCGCGCATCCAGCGTACCTTCGGCCCGCGAATATCCGCAGCGATGGCTTCCGCGCCGCGTTGGCAATCTTCATGAAGGGCGCGCGCGCGCGCCTCCCTCTCGTTCGGGGGCTTGTCGGCAATCGCGAATGCGTCGCCCGCTGCGCCCGACAGGTCGCCAGCCGCCCCGCCTGCCCGCTCGCGCTGCTTGAGACGCCAGCGGCGGCCCTGGGCTGGCCCGCGCAATCGGGCGCAGCGCACCCGCCGCCCATCGCGGCGGGCGCGCGCCCTTGCTTGCGCGGCGCGGGCTGGTTTGCCTTCCAATGGGTCTTGCACACGCGCGTGCGCGCGTGCAAATACGCAGTTCCACCACCAATTGCGACGGCGCGCCACCTCGCAAGAGGTAGCGCCGCAGGGCAGCTGCGCAGCCGAAGCTGCAGGGGGCCGCGCGGGGCTCGACGTCGATGTCCGCGGGTGTGTGCGCGTGTCTGCCCATGTCAGTCGATGTATGTGGATGCCTGCTGATGTCTGGATGCCAGCCGAAAGCTGTGGATGTATGCTGGCGCCTGCCGAACAGGCAAAGCATGCGAAACTTGCGCTGTGTGCTGCAAACCCCAAGTGCGATTGCGAACCATGCAACGCTTTGAAAAAATGCGCGTTGTGATTTAATATAGCCAACAACTTGCGCTGTTTGCTGCACGTGCGATTGGGGGGCGTTAAATGCGCGTTGCGATTCAGTAACAGCTAACAACCTACACTGGCTGCTGCAAGCACCACTTGCGTTTGATAAACATTCTGCAACTTGGAACAACTCGTGTTGCGAACCGCGATCACCCAACAACTTGACCGTACTTGGGAAACCCCGACACAACACACATACATACAAACGTCATCAGTTTAAACCAGTGCATATGCGCCGAAAACCATATTGAACATGTTGCATGTTGGAAAACCGCAACCACGTGCGTTCATTGTTCAGTATCCGCACGCGGCAGGCGCGGCGCACATGTGGTTCGAAACAACCTCGCGCTGCTCGGCGCGTCGTGCGCATCTCCCGTCAACCAGAGGTAATTGTATCGAACCTACATGCGCCTATTCAAGTATATTGCATGCGTGTGTGGTATTGCTTTGAATCTTGGGTCCACACTTTTTGCACCGCCACTTGCACAACTCTGGCGCACATGGGGAATTCACGTGGCACATCCCAGCGCGCGCTACAAACCAGCATACCCTGCTCAACATCATCCTTCTACGCGCGACTGTCTCGATTGCCCATGTGGCGCGCACCAGCGCAATGAAACCAGACGCAGCAAGCGAAAGCGTGTAAATCACCAGCCTGGGATTCAAGGAATCACATGCGGGGCAACGCTGGCAGGTTGCGTGGCACCTTCCGCGGTGACGGGCGCAGATCGCGCCCCTGTGCCTCCCTCCCTCACCATTCCCGCCTTCTTCCTGGGCATCTGTCCCCACCCTCCTCAGTTTCCATCCTCCCCCTTCAGGGCGCGCCGCTGGTTCGGAATGGTGATCGGGGCGCGTGTGTGTGTGTGTGTGTGTGTGTGTGTGTGTGTGTGTGTGTGTGTGTGTGTTTGTGTGTGTGTGAAAGTGTGAAGGTGTGTGTGTGTGTGTGCCTGCGTGCGTGCGCGCGTGTGTGTGTGGGTGTGCGTGTGTGTATGTGTGTGTGTGGTTGCGTGTGTGTGTGTGTGCGTCCGTGTGTCCGTGTGTGCGCGCGCGTGCGCGCGCGCGTGTCGGAGCATTCGCGCGCGCGCGTGCGTGCGGCAGGGGTGCAAATTCCACCAGCACCCGCGTCCGCAACCATAGCTGGACGGATCCGTCCTGCTATAGTTGCGGATGGGAGGAGGGCTTGGGGGGCAGACTCACGAATCATGGAGCCATCTTGCGCCCCACGGTTCGAGATTAATGGCCTTGTCGACCCAGCCCCTCCTTTCAGACGCAAGAAAAAAAGAAACACATGTTCTCGTTGTTGGGCAGCCTTGCGCCGCTATTGGTGCGGTCTCGGGAGCTGTTGGGCCATGGTTTGGGGCCCCCCTGGGCGCCCCTGGGTTCTGGGGCAGGACTGGGGCAACCCCGGCGCTTTGAAGGGCAATCGGAAACAACGTTGCGAGAAGGCCACCACAACAAACGCAGCCACCATGCGTTGCGTTAGCTGCGGAGTTGTTTCTGGAGGGCTTCGAGGGCATTTGGCCATGACCCATCTTAAAAGGGCCATCTGGGGGTATCCTATCCTTCTTGGGGCCTGCCTTGGGCCATGTTGGACGTTCGGGCCGCTCCGCCCCCAGCCGCCCCCTACCATTCACATCCCAGCACAGGGTAATGGGGCGGGGAAAGGGGTGTGGCGCTAGGGATGCCTCTCGCCCAAGCGGGGGGGGGGGGCGGGATTCGTCCGATTGCGTTCGGGTGGGAGGGCAGCGGCGAAACCGACTTTGCTGTTGAGCGTCGTTGCCTAGCGGGCTTGCGGCATGAACGCGCAACGCCACGTGCCCAGACCGACCGTCGGAAACCTGTGGTTCTCGTTGTCGTCGTCGTCGCCGTAGTTCGTCAGCCGTTTCGCCCGCTCTCCGACGGCCGATCTAAACATGACGGTTGCGACGCCCACTTGCCGCGGGCGCCTGGCCATCGAGCTTCGCATAATCCATGAAGAGCCGCCCAGGTATGCAGAGCTCAGGCCCGACCTCCTTGACAACGTCGTGGCTGTAGAAATTGGTGCACAGTAAGTTGGGCTTAACCCTGTGCTTCAGAAGCGCCGCCTCCTCGCGCTCAAACGAGCGCGAGATAACTTCATAAAAAGGCACAGACGGCACCAGAGTCCGCGACCCTGTGCGGCCCTTGCACGCGTTGCAGGGAATCTCCGTGTAGCGCAGCAGCTGGCGTTCCACCTCGGTGCCGCCGAGGAGCTTGTACACTGCTGGCGAAGCATTCCTGTTGTGCCTCATGTCGCGCGCCAGGTCCTCCACGCCGAGCCCCTTCGAGCGGGCGATTAAGACGCGCAGCTTGAGGAGTAGCGCTGCGGACATCTCGCCAGCGAAGAATAACCCCAGCAGCGTATCGCGGAGTTGCTTAGGATAGTCAGCCTCGGGATCGGGGCCGCGAATCACAGCCTGCGCATGCCTGCGAATACGAGCCACCCCAATGGCGCTGTCTGCCATCAGCAACTCGTGTCCGCCCCTCCGAAACTGCTTGAAACTGCGGCGCTTCCCAGCTGCTCCCGTGACAGAACGGGCGCTCCCCATGGGTGCGCCGAACTCGGGGCGATGCTGAAACCGACCGATCCTCGAGCCAAAACGGCTACGGAATTGGACAGTTCCTGATCGACTTGCGTTGAATTGCGTTGCTCTGACGGGCCATTGCGGCCTTTGCGGCGAGACATCCGAGAGGACGCATGGCCGCATGCAAGACAGCATTGCGCCTCCACCACCTGGCCCACAAGGCCGACCAACGCTAGCAACACTCGGCCTCACATCAGGATAGGGCGCGGCGGGGCTGGCAAGAGGAGCACGGCGCATGGGGGAGGGGGGCACGATGCGATGATGCAAGACCTTCGGGCACCAGAGGTGGCCGCGGATGCACGACCCTCGGAAACCAGAGACGGCCGCGAATGCGAAACCAATTTGCAGCGAAAGCCAGGCCCGCGAATGCAACGCCCTCGAGACACATATGGCCATTTGCATGGGAATGACCGCCGATGGCCGAGACCGCAAGGCCCTCGGACATCAGAGCTGATCTGGGACAGCGCAGAGGATGGCTGGGACATTCGGGCACCCCGTTCCCACGGGCGGCGCGCACCTTGAGATACCACTCTATGTCGAGAAAGTGTCGACATCTGGCTGTCCAACGACTGCGGGTGTCACGCCCGAATTGCGGGCGACGAAAACCGCGCCGACAGTGACGCCGCACGCACTAGGCTCGGTCCGCGCCCGACCGTGAAAGAACGCTGGCTGCTGGCTCTCCTCATCATCCTCCCGCTCCTCCTCCTCCAGGTCCTTCTCCTCCTCCTATTCCTCATCCTCCTCCTCTTTCTCCTCCCTTCCCCATCATCATCCCCCTCCTCGTCGCCATCCTTTCGTTGCCACCAGCCCTTCATGGTGATGGATGTGTGCCCTCCGTCCTCCTCCTCCTCCTCATCCTCCTCCTCGTCCTCATCATAACAGTCTCTCTCCTCCCCCGACGCTGGGGTGGGGCGGGGTCACCTGGGGGTGTCGCTCAACTCGTCACTCGCACCTCGCCCTTACATTCGCCCCTGCATTACCATTATTGCCACAGCCCCCGCTCACATCGGCATTATTCTCGCAGCCCTCGTTCTCATGGTCTTCACACGGAAATAGTCGGACCAGGGGGCGAGCGACGGGTTGAACGACGCCCCCCAGACGCCGCTTGCACCCGCCTCGCAGCGAGTCGTAGGCGCACGTGCCTAGAAACTTCGACGTACTCAGCCATCCAGCATCTCGAAGTCCGTCAGCCACTGCTGCTGCTGCTGGTGCAGTCAGACTCTGACGATGAAGACGTCGAACGATCCTTGATCGGCGACGCTCAATCCCCCGCGCCCTCCTCACCACTTTGCGCAGTATGCGTTTACGCCAGTCGCTCGTCCCACCCTCGACCTAGCCCTCGGCCAATACCCTTTCAGATGACAGTCAGATCTGAACCAGATCTGACTGCCATCCCCGCCGCCCTCCTCAGAGCCACCATCGTCGCCGTAGCCCCCATCGGCCCCCTGGTCGTGATACTCATCACCCTCAGCGGCCCCTCCCCATAGTCGTATCCCTGACCGCCCCCAGCCCCCGCTCACTGCTCCCCCATCCGAGCATATACCGACCTCCTGGCTGTCAGCATCCGATGGTTCCCCGTGCTCTGAACAGGCGTTGTCAATCCTCCTAATCAGCTTACCTGCCCCCTTGCAGTGAGAGGGCGGCGGAGCGCTGGCCGACGGGGCGACGGGGGGTGGGGGAGCTGGGGGGCGTCGCAGGCCCGAGGTCGGCGATACGAAAGGGTGGAGTGAGCGAATCTAGTATTCAGCCCCGTGCCTTCCTTCTCCTTTTGCTTCTTCTTGAACTCCGCCGTCGTCGCCTCCTCGGCCGCCTTCGCTTTGATTGCCGCTGCCGCCGCCTTTGCCTTGGCTTTCGCCTTCGCTTTGGCCGCCACTGTCAACTTCTTAACCTTCTGCGTCGGCGTGGGCTGCTCCTCGTCAGACTTCTCGTTGTGTTTTTCTTTCTGATGTTTATACGTCTTGTCGGCTTTCTTGCTCTTCAACTTGTCGTGTGTGGCCTTCTTCTTTTGAGCGTCCACATCACCATCCTTCTTGTCCTTCTGCTTCGGGGGGCCGTCCGAGTCATCGTCGCGCTCCTTCTTGCTCTTCTTATGCTGCTTCTTCTTCTTCTTCGGGTCTGTCTCGCCCGAACTTTCATCGTCCCTGGTCTTCCTCTTCTTGGCCTTCTCCTTGTCCTGTGTGTCCTTACCATGCTTCTTCATCTTCTTCTTCTTCTGCTTCTTGACTGGGCTTGACGCCTCGGTGGTGGACGCGCTGACGGACACTTTTTTCTTTTTCCTCTTAGTCTTCTTCTCGGCCGTCTCCCAGTTATCCCAGTCAGAGGTGTCCCACTCCTCGTCTTCGGCCTCCTCGTCCTGGCACTGGTAGGCATCGTCCGCATCATCAGCGGTCGTCGGCTGGGCGGCCATGGAGCTGGCGCTGCCGCCCGTCTCGATGATGCCCTCCTTTCTGGTGCCGTACGTCTCCAACTTTCTGGTATGATAGTACACCTTCGATTGCTGCTTCTCGTCCCATTTCACGAGCTGGTTGCGCCTGCAGAACTCTTGGAACCTCTCTGCGATCTCAGGGCATTTGAGGACACCCGCGGGCTGCTTGGGGTTCAGCCGCTGCCCCTCAGTACTAGTCTCCTGCCTGGCGGCCGACGCACTGCGACTGCCACGCTCGGACGAGGAGGATGGGGGGGAGGTTGCAGCAGGGCCTGGAAGCCGACATGGGCGATGCCAAGTGGTCATGCACCCTGGGTCTGGGTCGCCCATGGCAACCACCGTGCACCCCCGCTGCAACCTCACGCCCCCCCCCTGCGCCCATGAGTGGCCAGGGCCAGTGCTTCAGCCGCGGTGCCACATCGTCTTCCTCGCGATGAGGACTGTCCCAGCCGCGGCGAAATCGCGGTCGCAGCGGTTCCACACCTCCCGCAGCTGGGCTTTCACCTCGGGGCGCGCGCCCGCCCTACCGCCCTCGGCTCCACTTGCCTACCCCCCGTGGCCTGAGGACGAAGGGTGCCCTGGGGGCGAAGAGGGGGGTTCCCTGAGGGCGATGGGGCGGGTGCCCTGGGAATGCGTTCTGGGCGCCCTGAGGGCGAAGAGATGGAAATGACATATCGCTTCGGCTCCACAAATCCCCATCCACTCCTCCTCAACCTCCCTCGCCTAACTTCAACCATCCGTCCTTCGTCCTCCATCGACCCTCCTCCGTCAGCGTCGGCGCCAGCGTCGCTGTCATCATGCCGCCTCCAATCCTACGTAGCACCTCAGATTCCGACCGCTCCTGCAATAACGCAGCACCACCTTGCTGAGCCACCTCGCCATCACTTGCCCTGGCCCCAACCCCTCACCCCTCTCGCATTCATCCAGCTCACCTTGCTAACCCTGACTCTTGCAAGCATCTTCACCATCATCGCAATCATCATTACCCTACCGTTCTGGCCACCGCCATCGTCCTCTCCTCCCCATCGCCTTCCTCCTGATCATCATAGTCAGAAGCGTCGTCCGCATGTTTAACCCCCGAGAGCACAGTGTTGCACTTCGAGCTCTGATACTTCTGCACGAACTCGCTGATCTCGGGAGAGAGCTTCTGGCGGGGCGCCCCATCATCGTCCACGATCTCCTGCATGTGCCTGCTGAACATCCTGTCGCGCGACGCCTCGGCTCGCTTGGAGCGCATTGACCTGGGCCCTCGTTTTTTCTGCTCTTGCACGACAAGCTGGCCTGCTCCCTGCATCGCGAACCGACGGTGGACGGGGTCGGGCTGCCTGCAAGCCGAGCCGTGCGCCGGCGTGGGCCGGCAACCCACTGAACTTTCGGGCCAGCGCAGCTGAAACGGGATTGTGACGAGATTGGGGTAGGGACTCATGGGCATGAGGGGCTGGGGCGCATTCGGGCGCCACGAAAGCGGCTAAAACATGTCACCAGTCCCCCGAGCAACGTCCAGCCGAGGCGACGAGGAACCCCCCATCCTCCAACGGCCAGCAGAGACAACCGTTGCTTCAACTGATCCCTCACAGAGCATCCTCCCTTTTCAAACTCGACAACGTCGATCCTCGAAGACGAAGGTAAATTCTTGCCCACCGAGATGGGGTCCTACGGGTGCCTCGGATACAGGCACGACAAGCGAGCCTAGTTCGATTCCAAGCTACGGGATATTGAACCAGGCCTGCGATTCCTGAGACCACTCAGCCGTGCGCTTCCAGACGCCCGTTTGAGCGTCAAGAGAAAATTTCAACATTGGCGCAATGAAAATCTTACGCCCGCGGTAATCGAAACCCTCATAGGTACAAGGGGTTCCACCACCATCACCTCCAGTCTAGAACAGGAGCGAGGACTTCAAGATGATATTGTTCTTGTCGGGGCGAAGACCAGCACGGCTGTCGAAATATATACTGAAAGTGCCATCCCCGAAATTCCACGAACCGTGCCAACACGTGATATTGCTGCCACACTGCCACTGTACAAGACCAGTTTGTTCATCCAGGTATAGGACGCCCTTCTGAAATGCGTGTGTGACGTCCTCGTTGAAGTATTTGTAAGCCGTCACTGTCCTGGGATGAGCTACTGGGGCCAACGCCATGGAGGGTGTTAGCGGTTGGCAGGGCACCGTCACGATTGAAGGGTGCTCGGTCCCCAAATGGCGTCTGACAAGTAATTGTTGCCAGGTATATAGTAGTAAGCCGCAAGTTCCATGCAAATTAGCTATGTTGGATATGAATTAGGGCTGCATTCTGATCAGTTTCGCGACATCTTGAAGGTAACACGGACACGTTTTACGGCGATTCTACTAGACGTCATGACGTGACATGCATTCGTCCCAACGTTTTGCAGAGTTGTTTGCAAATCATTCCTTCAGCACGCAGAGTTGTGGAGTTGTTTTCTGTCCGTATATGTCTCATGTCGTGTTTGTGTGTCTGTGGATGTCTGTGTTTGTCTGTGGTTGTCTGTCTGTGTGTCTTAGGGTGTCTGAGTTTGTCTGCATGTGTCTGTCTTTGTGTCTGTTGATGTCTGAGTTTGTCTGAGTTTGTCTGCGATGTGTCTGTGTTTGTCTGTCTTTGTCTGTATTTGTCTGTCTTTGTCTGTGGTTGTCTGAGTTTGTCTGAGTTTGTATGTCTTTGTCTGTCTTTGCCTGTGGTTGTCTGAGTTTGTCTGAGTTTGTCTGTCTTTGTCTGTGTTTGTCTGTTGGTCTGAGTGAGTTTGTCTGTGTTTGTCTGAGTTTGTCTGTCTTTGTATGTCGGCGCTTGTCTGCCGCGCCTTAGTTTTCGGCCCGAGAACTCAGACATGTCGGCTCGACAACTCAGACATGTCTGAGTTTTCGGCCCGAAAACTCAGACATGGCGGCCCGAGAACTCAGACATGTCTGAGTTTTCGCACCGAAAACTCAGACATGTCTGAATTTTCGGCCCGAAAACTCACACATGGCGGCCCGAGAACTCAGACATGTCTGAGTTTTCGGCCCGAAAACTCAGACATGTCTGAGTTCTCGGGCCGAAAACTCAGACATGTCTGAGGTTCCGGCCCGAACAATGCCCGCGGATGTCTGAGTTTGTCTGAGTTAGTCTGCGTTTCGGACCCGAAAACTCAGACATGTCTGAGTTCCCGCACCGAAAACTCAGACATGTCTGAGTTTTCGGCCCGACAACTCAGACATGGCGGCCCGAGAACTCAGTCATGTCTGAGTTTTCGGGCCCGAGAACTCAGACATGTCGGCCCGAAAACTCAGACATGTCTAAGTTTTCGGGCCGAGAACTAAGACATGTCTGAGTTCTCGTGTCGAAAAGCTCGGTCATATGTGAGTTTGCTTCTCGGCTGAAACACTAAGACATGTTTAAGTATTCGGGCCGCAATCCCAGACGCGGCTTCGCCTTCGGGTCCGACAAGGTAAGACCTGCCCAGAAGATTGCTGCATGTTTCATCAGTCGGCCATGCAATTAAGATGTGCCAGCGACCCGCTTGTGCGTTGTAAGTATGACAAAGCGTTTCGCGCGCGGGACGCTTGCGAATTGAACATGTTGCACATTGTTTCGCGCGCTTCGCGCGCGAAGGTGCCGTGCATTACCCGCGCTTCGCGCGGATCCTTTATGAGTTGCATATATGTATATATGTATATACACACGCAATTCGTAATATATATGTATATATATATATAACAAATGGTGGTGTTTCGCTTTGTGCCCGAAGACTGTGCGAGTTTCACGTGTTACAACAGCGATGTCGTTGGCTTCGCGCGCCAAGCGCATGGGAGTTGAGACTATGGGTAGCAGACGTTGCAAACCGAAGGCCTGGCGCCTGCGTGCATGGGCTTCGCTTGCCGAGGCTAAGGCGCGGCGGTTGCGCCCCTGCGTTTTGGCAGCCGAACCTATCGCGCCACCAATGCTGCGCCGTGGCCACGGAGCGCGCGAGGGCAGCCGCGAACTTCACCAAGGGGAGTGCGCATGTGGGCTCCCGCATTTGGTCCGAAAACGGCCGTGCTGCCTATGGGGTCACGGGTCGTGCGAGCGGTGCGCGGCGGGGGCACGCACGTCGACCTTCACAATATGGCCGTCGGTGGGTGCCGAAATGCGGCAGGCGGGCGCATCTGCACCTTCACATTCGGGCGCCGAAATGTGTGAGGGTGTGCAGCAATGGGGCGGGGTGGTGCTTACGGATCCCACCCGCATAAGGGCGCTCGGTGGAACCCCCCATGGGGCCACGAAGCGTGTGTTGGGTGCGCCGACAGGATGTTGATGTGCGCATCTGAGCGCGACCCTTGGGGCCTTCGGTTGGGCCCCCCAAAGGAGAGACGAAACGAGTCTTCGCATGGGCCCGAGTCGCCACGCTCCTGCTGCACCACTTGGGGCACCCGTTTTCGTTAGCATGGAATTGCGCACCTGCTTGTGAGCGGCACCGCTATCACATCAACGTGCTGCGGAAGAGCGGTGCGAGATTGATAGGGGGAGGGCGCATTGCGTGCGCCACCCCCCGCGTGTGTTTTTCGGCAGCGTTCCAGAGCCCCCGCGACTGGCCACGCAACGTGTGATGGGGGGCGCAGCATTGGTTGCCGTGCCAGGGGGTGGGCGCGGGGGGGGGGGGGGGGAGCGCACGCAGGGGCTTCGCAGGGGCTGGCAGGGCTTAGCAGGGGTTGCGCAAGGCTTAACAGGGCCCAGCACTGGCGTAGCAGGGCGTGGCTCAGCATTGGCTAACAGGGCTCAGTGGCTAGTAGGGCTGAACAGGGCTTAGTAGGGTTTCACATGCGTCCAAAAAGCTCAACAATACTGCCTTGTCAAGCTTATTTGGGCTTAACAAGGGCCACCAGGGCGTTGCGTGACGTTGCATGGCCTACCAGTGACTAGCAGTGCTTGACATGGGCTATTTTTGCGCACCAGGGCTCCGCAGCGGCCCCGCAGGTCGATGCAGGGCGCCCCCCGCCCACTTGACTCCACCCTTGGCCTCGGGATGCATGCGCGCCCCAATCCCGCCCTGGAACCCATGGGGCCCCGACCCCGAGACTGAACCCTTTAGCCACGGGGTGTCCTGCGCGCCCCAAAACCGCTGGAGCCCTTGGAATATGTGGAGCCTCTGGCTCGGACCCACGGAGCCCCTGGTCACCGACACTTAGAGTGAACCCATAGGCCCTGGGAGGCCCTGAGCGCCACAGAGCCCCTGGAGCCCATGGGCCACTTGGAGCCCCTGGAACCCCTGATGCACCTGGGGCACCCATCTCCTAGACTGGACCCCATAGGCCCTGGGAGGCCCTGGGCGCCCCAGGGCCCCGAGCCCCTGGGGCGAGAAGAACACGCGAGCATCCGAGACCCATCCCTAGACCCAGGCGGGAGCGGAATGGGTGTGCCGAAAGGCATATGTCAGGAATGTGCGTGCTACAAAAAAGTCTCTTGGCAACGGCTTGGCATCGGTATGGCAACGAATAATCATGTGGCAAATGCTTGACATCGGTCTGGCCGCAAAAAAACGCCCGTGCTCTGGCACCAAGACTTGCACGCGCGGCAGCGTGCATCACTCTGGAGCGGGGAGCGGTCGGCGCCGCCAACAAACAATATGAGGCTGTGTACTGTCCAAGGCGTAGCTGGGACCACATATGAGCATGTCACAGACGAACCGCACATGAGGAAGTCTCAAGCGACACCCTAGGGCGTTTGTCCTGCTACATCGGTGGCCCCTGGAGCCATCGGGACCTCTGGAACACTTGGAGCCTCTAGAACCCCTGGGGCCCCTGGAGTACCTGGGCCCAACGGCTGAAACCTGTGCCCGAGCCACCGCTGTCCCCCAGAACACTTGGGGCCACTGGAACCCTTGGATTGGAACCCTTGGAGCCTGACCCCTAGGCTAAACACCGTAGGCCGTGGGAAGCCTTGGGCACACCGACACCTTCGAGCTCCTGCAGCCCCTGGAACACGTGGAGCCTGTGGAATCCTTGGGACCCCATTCATCCCCCGACCCTTAGACTGAACCCCTAGGCCCTGGGAGGCCCTGAGCGCCCCTGAGCCCCTGGAGCCCCTGGAACACGCGGAGCCCCTGGAACCCTTGGAGCCCCTGGAGCACCCGAACCCCAAGACTGAGCCCCTAGGCCCTGGGAGGCCCTGGGCGCCCCAGAGCCCCGAGCCCCTGGGGCCACAAGACCACGCGAACATCCGAGACCCCGACCCCTAGACCCCAGGCGTGAGCGGAGCGGTTGAGCCGAAAGGCATGTGACATGTATATTGCTGCTTCGGCAACAAAGGATGGACTGTCATTCGAATCAATTGGTACCGATCTGTCAACGAGGACTCGCATGGCAAATATTGTGCATCAAAGGCATGTGGTCATCACAGAAAACTGGCACCACCGATGAGAAGAAACACGCGCAGAGAGAAGTCTGCCACGAGGCCACCCGCGCACCGCGATGGCTTGATAACGCATGGGCTACGCACCAACGTGCTCGTGCACAAAAACATGGAGGCGGTGCAACCAACCGCTGAGACCACTGATGGGTATGTCCCAAGCGAAACGCCCAGGAGCAAGTCTCAAGCGAACCGCCTAGGGTGCGTTTCGAGCTATGCACCTGAGATCCATGGTGTCATTGAAGCCCCTGGAGCACTTGGGGCCACTGGAACCCCTGGGACCCATTTGGCCCCTCGACAGAATCCATTGGTAGTGCCACGCCCTGGGCGCACCCGAATAACAGAGCCTCTGGAACAGTAGGAGCAAATGTGAATTGTGGAATCCCTGGGGCCTGACCCCTAGAATGGGCACCAGATAGGTCGTGAGAAGCCCTGAGCGCACCGAAACCTTCAGAGCCCCTGGAACACTTGGAGCATCTGGAATCATTGAAACCCCTGGCCCCCGACCCCTAGACTGAACCCTAGGCCCTGGGAGGCCCTGAGCGCCCCAGGGTAACGCCCCTGGAGCCCCTGGGGCCCCTTGGGCCTCTGGAGCCCCAGAAGCCCCTGGAGCCCCCGACACCTGTGCTGAACCCGCAAGCTTCGGGAGCCCCTGGGTGCACCAGAGCTCTTGGAGCCCATGGCACCTGCGCATGGAGCCTCTGGAACCCCAGGCGCCCCTGGGCCCCCCGACCCCTAGACGGAACCCCTAGGCCCTGGGAGGCCATGGGCGCACTGGAGCCCCGAGCCCCTGGGGCCACAAGAACACGCGAGCACCCGAGACCACAATCCCTAGACCCCAGGCGTCAGCGGAGCGGGTGTGCCGAAAGGCATATGCCAGGAATGCGTGTGCTGTAAAAAACGGGATCCCTTGGCAACGGCGTGGCATCGGCATGGTAACAAATAATCATGTGGCACATATTCTGCGTTGATGTATAACAAAGGCGGGCGTGTGATACTAGCAAAGAACTGAGGCCACAAGTGACGAGCGTCTCCAGCGAAACGGCCAGGGCGATTTTGGTCCCAGGCGAACGGCGCCAACCGCGCACCGCGCTAGCTTGATAACACGAGGACACGCACCAACGTGCTTGTGCACGCGCGGCTCAGCATATCAAGCTGGGGCGGTGCACGATCGGCGCCGCCCGCAAAACAAACGGGAGGCGGTGCCCTCTCCACCGCGTAGCCCCCTCAGGCGCAGTGCCCGTAAAGGGAGGGGCTACCTCCTGGCCCACCTTCCGCCCCTCCACGCTGAAAAAATAATGTGAAAAATAAAACTGAAATAAAACATATTTTAAACTTATTCAGCAAAAAATGTTTTTTACTTAAACATTTAAAACAAACAAAAAAGTGGAGGGGCGGACGGGGGGTTCGGAGTGGCGAGGGGCCCTAGCACTTCAGAGCCAGCTGCCAGTCAGGGCCGAGGGGCACTGCACCGCGCAAGGCAAATACAGCCAGGGAGGAGGCCCCTCCCTTCCCACCCCTTCGGGGATGGGGGAAGAAGGGCCTCTCCCACAATCCCTTCGGTCGCTGGGCTAACGCTGACCTGCGCTGCTACCTCCTGCTGTGCCCGAGCCCCAGATGCCCCTCTTGGCCCACTAGGCCACAACAGGGCCCATTAGGACCCATCAGGGCCCATTAATGCCCATGTGCTGGGGTGAGGTGGGGGGGGGGGGGGGGGGGGGGGGGGGGGGGGAGGGGGAGTGGGGGGGGGGGGGGAGAGAGGGGGGGGGGGGGGGGGGGGGCGGCAAGACACCCCAAGACGCCCCAGTCACCAAACGCGCCCCAAGACTCATACGGCTTTCAACGCGCCTCAAGACGCCCCAGCCCCCCCCCTCCCCCGAAAACAACAAACAAACAAGAACGCAGCATGCAGCAATGCGCCCCACGAAGCCTCAGGCCCCAACGCACCCCACGACGCGCAAGACCACGCAAACAAAAGCACGACGCCTTCGGCCACAAAGCACCCCGCGACGCCTAAGGCCACTAGACGTCCAGGACACCGCTTGCTTTGTGATTTCGTTGTTGCCCCTTCCGCTGGCGCCCCTGAGGCTAGGGGCCCCCGACCCCCAGGAGCACGCCACCTAACGTGGTAGACCTTGCAGCGTACCTGACCCCTGCTCTCATTTATTGTTGTGTGTTATCTATCGCTCTCTCTCTCTCTCTCTTTCGCTCTCTCTTTTCTCTCACTCTCTCTCTCTCTCTTGGTCTCTCTCTTTCTCTTCCCCTCTATATGTAATTATAGAGCTCGCTCTCTCTCCCTCTATCTCTCTCTCTCTCTCTCGCTCTCTCCCCCCCCTCTCCCCCCTCTCGCCATTCGAGCCACGTTGATCTCGGGGCCCTGCTGGTCTCAGCTCGTCTTCCTCGGGTGCCGACTGTTGCCTAGACATAGCCCTGGAAGCCACATTCGGCCGCGGTACGGCCCACGAGGACTCCTGACATCCTCCTCCTCACCTTTAATGATTGGTGCCCCTCCGATGGAGTTTGGGGGGGGGGGGGGGCTGGGCGCGAGACCCAGCGAACATAGGCAACTCGCCTGGCACATCGTTTCTCGACGGGCTGCGGGGCGTCGGCGAGGAGGAAGGGAGGCGAGCGACGGCGAGGAGGAGGAGGGCGATGAGGAGGAGGAGGAGGACGAGGGGAGGGCGACACGGCGAGCGGGCGGTTGTGCTGTATCCACGTGTCTGCGAATCAACGCCCGTGCATTCCGAATGTCAGTCGATGTGTGCGGAGCATGTTCGGATGTCGTTGCATGTCCGAAGATGTCTGTGGGTGCCCGCTAATGTCTGCTAGTGTCTTTGTGTGCCTGCGCATGTCTGCGCGTGTCGAACGACTTTGTGTGTCTGCGCATGTCTGTGAATGTCGCTGCATGTCCGAAAGCGTCGGCCGATGTCCGTGTAGGTCTTCGGGTGTATGCACGTGTCTGGGCGTGTTTGCGCATGCCGCTACATGTCCGAGAATGTTTGTCGATGGCCGTGTATGTCTGCGAGTGTCTGCACTTGTGTGTGCGTGTCTGCGCATGTCGCTGCATGTCCGAACATGTCGGCCGATGCCTGGCAATGTCTTCACGTGTCTTGGATTGTCTGCGTATGTCGCTGCATGTCCGAAGCTGTCTGTGGGTGTCCGTGGATGTCTGCGAGTGTCTGCGTGTGTCTGCCCATGTCTGCGCGTGTCGCTGCATGTCGTAACATGTCTGCCGATGTCTGCAAATGTCTGCGTGTGTCTCTGCGTGTCTGCGCATGTCTGCGAATGTCGCTGCATGTCCGAACATGTCTGTCGATGTCCGTGTATGTCTGCGAGTGTCTGCGTGTGTCTGCGCATGTCTGCGAATGTCGCTGAATGTCCGAACATGTCTGCCGATGTCCGTGTATGTCTGCGAGTGTCTGCGTGCGTCTGCGCACGTCTGCGAATGTCGCTGCATGTCCGAGCATGTCTGTCGATATCCGTGTATGTCTCCGGGTGCCTGAATTTGTTTGGGCGTGTCTGCGCATGCCGCTGCATGTCTGAAGATGCCGAAGGCTGTCAGCTGGTGGCTTCGCGTGCCTATACATGTCGCTGCGCGTCTGCGCGTGTCGTTGCATGTCTTAACCTGCCGACCGATGCTTGTTGATGTCTCTGCGCGTCGTCACTCGTCTCTGCGCGCCCGCGCATGCCTCTGGTTGCGCGACGACGTGCGCCGACGACAATTGGTGCAAGGGGTTGCAGGGGGTGAGGGGAATGAGAGAGGACGAGACGGATGTCTGTGCTGAGGGCGGGCTGGGGGGGGGGCGGCGGAGGGGTGGGCGGTGAGCCAGGGCAAACAGGAAATAGGGTCGAATGGGGTGGAGGGGGCAATGCGGGGCGGGGCACAACGCGCTGCCATTTGGAATAGGCGATATCGGACGTTGCCTGCAATCAACCCGCATAGTAAGGATGGGCAACCCTCCCGCGGGTACCCGTGCATCCTTACCTTCTCGGCCCATATTTGGCTTGGCCGCGGCCCGCTCGAAAAGCATCGACATGGGCGTCCAAGGCCTTTGCATCCTTATCGCGCATCCTTACTACGCGGATTGGCTGTATCTGCTGAGCATCCAGGCTGGTCGGGCCATGTGCGGTTCAGAAGGGGGGCCCAACCCGAACCCGCAGAAACGGGAGTGGGCCGACTCGGGGTGCACACCAGCACCGAAGGCCCATCGGTGCCTAAACCAGGGCATCGAACAAGCGCAGCCCCCCACCCAGGCCCACCCAGACGACGGGTGGTGGACGGGCGGCAGCCAGTGACCGAAAACCCACGCGTGGGAAAGGGGAGCGGGCGTGGGCCAGAGGAGGAATATCTTCGCGCTACCTTCGAGCGGCCTGTATGTGATCGTCAAGCTACCCTCGGCACATTGCATTGCGCCTGACCTGAACGAGCTTGCAGCCACGCGACACGAAGGCGACGGCAGGCCTTGAAACTCTCAGCGCGCACGCAAGCACTCGTCGCGGAGTGCTGCAACCCTTGTACGGCGCCTATATATCCATGTATATATCTAGTGGCGCCGCCGTCGCCGATACTGAATAACAGAAGTTGCTCTTGTGCTCTGTCCATCATTTCCCATCCTCTCACTGTAATCCTAACCATCGTCGTCCTAACACTCCACCTCATCCACTCTACCTAGTCTGCCAACCCAGGGCCGTCAGACTCGGGCACCGCGGACTTGGCGCCCAAGCGTCGGCGCTTCTGGTCGGACCCCTCATTCTCGACCACGCCGAAGAACTGGGTCGCGGTGGCGTCCTCCACCTGGGTCGAATGCAAGCCGCCCTCCTCGGGCTGGGTGAAACAGTCGATCTCCTGCACCACGTCATCGAAGAGCCCGTCGACGTGCTCCTTCGCGCCGTCTGCCATCTTGTCGTCGACCGCCGCGCCGTCGGCGCCTCCCTTCACGTCGTCGGGCATCTTGTCGTCGGCCATCGCGCCGTCGGCGCCTTCCTTCACGTCGTCAGGCATCTTGTCGTCGGCCATCGCACCGTCGGCGCCTTCCTTCACGTCGTCAGGCATCGTGTCGGTCATCACGCCGTCGGCGCCTCCCGTCGCACCCTTGGCGGCCTCCCGATGCGCATCGTCGTCGCTGATGTTGACGGCCGCCACCTCGCCGCTGCCATCATCGCCTCCAGCGGCCGCCAACAACTCGGCGCGCGCGGCACCCTCAGCCTGTACCCTCTCGACCATCCACTGGTTCGCGTAGAGAACCGTGCCCTTGAGCGTCGCTGCCACCTTGATCTTCGCGTTGCTGGTCTTCGTCCACTTATGGCCGTCATTGCTCCGCACGAAGCACTCCCACCCGTTGATCTTCGGGCGCGGCGAGATGCCAACCTCAGGGCACAGCAGCCAATCACATCCTCATATGTATCCTCATCCTCATCCTCATCCCATCCTTCTCATTTCATCATCATCCTCCGCAGCATCCTCATCCTCATCATCACCCTCGGCACCTCGCCGCCAGCCGCATCCCCACCGCCATCTGCATACGAATCCCCATCACCCACCTCGCCCCCATCAGACCATCATCCCTTATCACCGTCCTCCTCATCCTCCCCATCTACCTCCTCCACTCTCTCTCTCTCTCACACTTTCCGCCCCTCCCTCACATTATCCCTCTAATCCCCATCCTCCTCATCGCCATCCCCATCCTCATCACCATCCCCATCGTCCTCATCATCCTCCTCATCATCACCATCCTCATCGTCCTCATCATCATCCTCATCGCCAGCCTCATCCCCATGAGATCCTCGTCGCCATCCTCAACTGCCTCCGCATCTCCGCTGACCCCCCGCAACCTTCCATTGGCCGTGCTTGCCGCACAGCTCGCGGGCCTCCTTGATCTCTCGGAGCACCGCGGCCATCTTGCTGCCGCACCAGCCGTCGCCGTGCTCCTCGTTCACCGTGTCTGCGTCGCCCTCGTTCCAATCGCCCGCCGCTGGGACGGGCGATGGGTCGGCCGCCGCCTCTGCCTTCGCAAGGACGGGTTGGCTGAAAACGACGAGGGCTGATTGAGGGTAGAAGGTGGGGGACTTGAGACGGCATCATGCGGAGGATAAGGGTTGAGGGCTTGAAAAGGCGAATGGGGGGCGGCGGAGACTTGGGAAGGTTCTAAAGTGGAGGACTCGATGCCATAAGTCTGGAATAATCGTGGGGAGAGGGATGAGGAGGTTACGTTGCAGTGCGAGAGGCCTGATGATGCCAACCCTCGCCGCCCTTGCCCGCCGCCTTGCACTTGCCCTTGCCCCTGCTCTTGCCCTTGCCCGTGCCCTCGCCGCCAACGTTCAGCCCACCGCCGTCGCCGTCGGCATGATGGGCCTTCTTGCCCCTGCCTCTGCCTCTGCCCCTGCCCTTGCCCGCGTCGACGGGCGACGCGCCCTCCTTGGCTGCGTGCGGGCTTACCGCCGCGCCCTCCTTGGCTGCCTGCGGGCTGGCCGCCGCGCCCTCTGCGCCCTTGGCCGCCGCGCCCTCTGCGCCCTTGGCCGCCGCGCCCTTCTTGACCGAGGCGGCCGCCGCGCCCTCCTTGGCTGCCATCGGGCTGGCCGCCGCGCCCCAGGCGCCCTTGGCCGCCGCGCCCTCCTTGGCTGCCATCGGGCTGGCCGCCGCGCCCTCCTTGGCTGTCTGCGGGCTGGCCGCCGCGCTCTTGGCCGCCGCGCCCTCCTTGGCTGAGGCGGCCGCCGCTGGCGCCTCGGGCGCAACCTCGGGCGCCTTCTTGATGTTGGGGTCGCACCTGGCCGCCTCTGTGCACAGCTGGTCGCTCATCCATCTGTCGCCGTCGTCCCACACGTACACCGCGGCCCCAATCTTGCTGCTGACCACCGAGGCGGCGGGGCAGCTGTCTGAAACCCTGAACGCCCAACCTTTCACGAGCACGTATTGGTCACCGCCGTCGCTCTCGTCATCGGCAGACTGCATCTTGGCCAGGCGGGCGGCGATGTTCTTGCGGCACCGATTCGCCTGGCCAGGGCGAGACGAAAGCAAGCGCGCACAAGCCTCTCAACGCGAATAACACTATCCCAACGTCGGGCATGAGGACGAGGAGAGTGGGAGGAGGCATACTGACGAGGATGACAAGGAAAACGACGCCATCCAAAAGCCCCTCCGAGTCTCCAAGAGCCCCCCAGGGGCCCTAACAGGGCACCGATACCCACCGAGCCCCCATGCTGGTCCCAAGAGGGCACAGGCACCCACCGAAAAGGCCACAGCTAGTAGGACCAGGATAACCTCACCATAACCCCAACAGGACACCGATACAATTGCAACATCTGCCACCTGACTGCTTAAGGAACACCAGCAGTTGGTGGGTGGACGCATTGTCTTACATATCCGCATTATCGTCATCCTCCGTATCCCTCCTCCTCATCCTCCTCCTCCTTCTCCTGCCTCGCCCTCGCCCCCCGATGCTCTATTATCATCTTGATCGCGATCCTCGACATTTCGCCATTGCCCCCGTCATCGCACGCGTCAGTTTCCCCGTCCTCGCCAGGTAGCTACAGGTCATTATCCCCGCCGTCGTTTTTTAACCATAAGCTCTTCCCTGGGCGGCGCAACGTTTTGGCTCAAAGGATGGAGGGGGGGCGGTCACTAGGGCCACATGGGGCCCACCAAGGGGCCTCACAAAGGCATCGAACGCGACAGAGCGAGCACGCTCGCATCATTGGCCCTACACAGAGCACGAAACAAGCGTGCCACCCGCGCCCCCCCCCCCATCAACGAACACGTTTGCACATGTGTAGCCACGAAGCGTGCGAGGGGCGTGCCGACAATGCCCCATGGCGCCACGATGCGCGTGAGAGCTGTGCCGAAGTATGCGGGGGAGGCGCATGCGAATGCCGCCACTGTGGCCTTCGGTGGAGCTCCACTGGTGATGGTGACAGCGACGGTGATGATGGTGACTTTGGTGATGGGGCCGATGGTGATACTGTTGCTGATGCTGCTGCTGATGATGGTGATGATGGTATTGGTGATGTTGTTGTTGCTGAAAATACTGATGCTGATGCCGTTGATGCTGATGATGATGTATGTTCATGGTCTTGATGCTGGTGGTGATGACTCTGGTAGAAACTAACCGTCCTGCAGCATCGCTGTACGGGGAGTTCCCCAGAGGTCTGTAGGAAGAGGAATGAAGACACGGAGCGCACCCTCAGCCTCATCTTCCCCCCCTCCCCCTCCCCCCTCATCATCGTCATCCTACCGCAATGGGGCTAAGAGTTAGAAGTAGGAGTTAGACTAGGAGCCGAAGTAGGAGGAGTAGGGGGAGTAGCGATTATGAGTAGAGGGCGCTGCATCCCGCACAGGATACCGCGACTTGCAGAGAAGCGGAGGGGGAACCGCAGGATGAGTCGAACTGGCCCAATGCGTGCCTGGCCAGGAAGCGCAAGGGGATCTTCGAAACGTTGGTCGAGAGATTTCGGGCGAAACGGGCTGAGACGTTCAGGCGGTGGCAGGCAGCATTAATTAGCATGGAACCAATAAGCGCCATTGCGGCGTGGAATGCGGGTGGGCGAGCTCGCCACATCGCCCGGGGAGGCGCCCGCGAAGCAGGAGGGGGGGGATGGGCAACTCGACGAGGGGGCAGACGAGATCGATGGGACCAATATCGCGCCACTCGCCGCCCCCCCTCGATCAACGTTTGAATGTGCGGATGAGGAGGTAAGAGAAAAAACGAAGGCGATCAGAGGAAGGATGCCGACGTGAAAGAGGCTGGGGACAAGTGGGATTAGACCGAGGAGAAGGCCTGAAGAGCGGGCAGATCTGCCCGTTCTTCAGGCGGGACTGGGGGAGGGGCGGAGGGTGGTGCGGAGCGGGCGGGGAGCGCGCCTCTGCCATCTCCTCGTCGCACTTCTCGGCCAAGCGGCGGCCGTGGGTCGGCTGCGGGGCGTCCGTCAGCGGCTCGGCACCGCCTGCGGCATATATATATATATATATATATATACAAACATAGGTCCCAAACTCGCTTCCTGACACCGCCCGATCGGGTCCCAAAAAACGCTTCTTGGACGGTCCCCCAACGCTCCGAGACGGCCCAAGACCCGCCCACGAACGGCTCACGAACGCTCTCAAAGGGTCCAAAGTGATGTCGCAACGGCCCAAGACGCCCCTCAGACACCCCAGGCGGCCCCCCACAAAAGCCCCCAAGAAGCACGCACCGTGCAGGTTCGGAAAACCTAGATTGTTGATGCATACGTTTCTGAGCCCTATGAGCCTATGAGCCCTCTGCGCCCTATGAGTCCTATGTGCCCTATGAGCCCTATGAGCCCTACGTGCCCTATGAGCCTTATAAGCCATGTGAGCCCGTTGCGCCCTATGAGCCCTAGGAGCCCTACGAGCCCCATGACCCCTACGAGCCCTATGAGCCCGACTGGCCCTGTGAGTCGTTTGAGCCCTATGAGCCCTACGCGCCTTATACGCCCCATGAACCCTCTCGGCCCCGCGAGCACTAGGGGCCCGATGAGCCTCGGGCATAGCGCCCCACGAGCCATATAAGCCCTATACGCCATATGACCCCAATGGCCCCTACGAGCCCTAAGTGTCCGATACGCCCTATGAGCCCCGCGAGCCTTGTCAGCCCGATAAGCCCTATGAGCACACGCACACACGCACACACATACCCATCATTATTGTGTATACACGCAACTACAAGGCTTGAAGCTCGCTGCCCTTCGGGCATAGGGCTCAGCGGGCTCAGGCTTCGAGGGCTCATAGGGCTCAGATGCTCTTAAGGCTCGTAGGGCGTTGAGGGCTCATAGGGCTCGCAGGGCTCAGATGGCTCATGCGGACAGGGCTCATATGGCTCACATGGCTCATGGGACTTGTAGGGCTTATAGGTCTCATAGGTCTCATAATACTCATAGGGCTCATAGGACTCATACGGCTCATAGGGCTCGCATGGCTCATAGGGCACATGACTGGGGCGGGCCCCGCGTAGCGGATGACCCCACGACGTCCGACGATGTCTTGAGACGGCCCAGGAGGCCCCGCCCCCCCCCCACCCCCCCCCCCCCCCCCCCCCCCCCCCCCCCCACCCCACCCCACCCCCCCCCACCCCCCCCCCACCCCCCCCCCCCCACACACACACACACACACACACACACACACACACACACAACACACACACACACACACACACACCACACAACACACCAACACACACACACACACACACCACACCCACACACACACAAACACACACACACACACACACACACACACACACACACACACACGGCCTCAAGCGATGCGCCTCACACAGCATGCAAGTTGCCTTTCTTCCTCGGTCCTTCTCCCACGCCGCATCCGCCTCATCATCCTGTTCCTCATCGCCCTCCTCCCTCTCCTGACCCCACCCACCCATTACCTTTCCTCCATGCACAATTCCTCTCCCCCTCCTCCTCCTCCTCCTCCGCCTCCTCCTCAAACCCCTCCACGCCGAACCTGGGGGGTCGGCGCTATCGACCTCGCTGCGCACGCTCACGAGGCTGTCATCATCGTCTGAGCTGAGGCCGCCGAGCGTGATCGCCTTCCCACTAGCATCATCATCAACGTCGTCGGCAGCGTCTTCATGGTGCTGCTCCTCGCTGCAGTCGGGGGTCGGCTTCATGGCGCGCTTCAGAGCTGCGGGAATGTGATACTGCAGCCTCGGGCGGGCACTGCATGCCCCCCCCCCCTCCTCCTGATGTTACTCATATTCCCCCCCTTGCCCCTCGTCCTCATCCTCATATTCATCTGCACCATCCTCCTGTTACCATGTCAGCATCCTCCCTGCACTCTCCTCATCCTCGTCTTCTTCCTCATCTCCCTTACCCCCAGCATCGCCCTCCTCGGGAGTGGGAGGGCGTGCGCGGGCGAGGAGGGGGGGGGGGCGAGCGAACAACCCACCTGGAAGAGGTCAGATGGAGGGAGGCGGCGAAGGCAAACGACGACGAGGACGACGACCACGACCGCGACGACGACGACGACGACGACGATGACGACGGCGACGACAGCGGCAGCGGGCCCTCCTCTTTCTTCTCGCGCTCCATCATTCATTCTTCGTCCATCACGTGCTGATCCTCCTTCTCCCCCTCCTCCCGTCATTCCTCTCTCGCTCCGATCGCCTCACGATGCGGCGCCACGCCGCGACCAAGTTCTGCATCTTCTTTGCCTCCGCGCACACCAACGTAGGCGTGATGCCGCCCATGTGGCCAATGACCTCGGGACTCGCACCCACCCCTCCTCCTCATCCCCACTGCCGCCCTCGACCGGGGAATTCGGTGTGCGTTAGCTCCACGCGTGTGCACCTCATTATATCCCCCCCCCCCCCCCCCCCCCCCCCCCCCCCCCCCGCATCACCATCACCTCCAGACTCATCACCATCATCAGTACCGTCATCATCATCATCATCAGCACCATCATCATCATCATCATCATCATCACCAGCAGCCCCATCATCATCAGCAGCAGCAGCAACATCACGTGCATAATCCTCATCCGCCTCATCCTCATCATCACCACCCGCAGCATCATCATCGTCATCGTCATCATCATCAGCAGCATAATCAGCAGTACCGTCGTCAGCATGCCCATCATCATCATCATCATACTCAGCACCACCAGCAGCAACGACATCGGCATCATCATCCTCATAAGCATACTCATCACGCTTCTCAGCGCCATCAAAAGCATCACAATCCGTGTCCCCGTACTCGACATCGTTACCTTCTCACCCTTCCATATCCAAATCCGCATCGTCTTCAATTTCCTCCTCTTCCTTCTCCCCCTTCTCCTTTGCCTTCTCCCTCTTCGCCTCCTCATGTCCATCCTCTTCCTCCCCCTTCTCCTCCTCCTCCTTCTCCCCTTCCCCCTCCGAATCCTCCTCGTCCTCTTCTTCCTCCCTTCCTCCTCCTCCTCCTCCTGCGCCTCCTCCTCCTCCTCGTCGTCCTCCTCCTCCTCCCCATCTCATCCCGGTCACCTAGTGAACTGCATGTTCGTACACGTCGAGGCTGAAGCGGAGGCCCTTGTTTGTGTCCTGCAACCCCCCCCCAGGCCCTTGCACCACTTCGCCGTCATAACGTAGTCACAGAGCCCCCCTTCGGGGGGACAAGAAGGAGGCGGGAGAGCACGGAACGGAGGAGAAGGGCGTGGAGGGAGGGGGCGGGACAAGGAATAGGAGGGAAGAGGGAGGAGGAGGAGGAGGAGGAGGAGGAGGAAGAGGGATGGATACGACGACGAGGAAGACGAGGAGGATGAGGAGGAGGAGGAGGAGGACAGGCTTGGGGTGAATGTTGCTCCCCCTATCCTGTCTTCTTGCTCCCACATGTGTTCCACGAACACAGCGTGGGAACGCCGCCCGCGCTGCGGGCGAGGGGGACCTGCCTGAGAGCAGAGGCCACTGCGGCCACCTGCGGCTCCATGGCTTTGCGTCGGCGGCGGGCCAGGGCGGGGCCGAGAGCGGGCGGGCAGGGCTGAGCCGAGAGCGGGCGCTCCTGCCTCGATGGGCGGAGCCGAGAGCTCTGGAGTCGAACAGGGCAAAGCTGTTTCGTCTAGGGGAGTTGGGTGTCGGGGGTTCGGCTGCTTTTGTTGGGGTGCTGTTGTTGGGGTGTGTTTGTTCCTCCCTTCAGCCCTGCCCCCCCTCTTGGGTCAAGACTCTGGCTCCGATCCCGACTACCACGACAAGGGCGAGGACGACTCCGACGAGGACGACCACGACCACGACGAAGACGACGACGACAACTCCGACGACGACTCCGACTCGGACGATGGTTCCTATGACGACGATTCCGACGACGACGACGACCACGACGACGACGATTCTGACGACGAGGATGACGATTCCAACAACGACGACCACGACGACGACGATGATGACTCCGACGACGACTCCGACTCGGACGATGCTGCCGATGACGACGACTCCGACAACGACCACGACGATGACGACGTCGATGACGACGGCGATGACGACGAGCCCCACTCCGACTCCGACGACTGCTGCTTCTTATTCTTCTACCCTCGCTAATCCTCCTCGCCCCTTCACCCTCTCGCTTCTGCAGGCGGGGAGGTAGGAGGAGGAAGACGACGATGACACCGATAGCAACAGCAGCAAACACACCGCATAGCAACGGCAACAGCAAAAGCAACAGCAAACACCGATGCATAACACACGGCGACACCAGCGACAGCAATAACAACATCATCCAAGCAATGCATTGCAATGGTAATGATGCATCGCAACAGCGGGACAAAAGGCAACAAAGGCAACCACAACAGCAGCAGCAGCAACAACAGCAACAATGCATGGCAACGGTGGCACTAGTACCATCAACATGAGCAACAACCCACGTATTGAAACAACCTCGCCATCACCAACATAACATAATGCAGATTTTCTCTTGCATCGCAGCTAGTTAGCAAGAATAACAACGACAAACGCAGACACCAAAGACATCCAAAGACATCCGAAGACATCCGAAGACATGACCGATCGACCCGCACCTTCCGCACCTTCCGCACCTTACGGAAGGTGCGGAAGATCAGCCGCAGGGAATGAGAGCTCAACAACAACCACAACAACCCTCTCGAACCCAAAACTTCGTACATCGCCCCCCTGCCCTGCTCTGCTCGCCAGAACCAGTGCAGGGCCACGTCAGACCCGCAACCACCTCCAAAAAGGGCGACTGGCGCACGGATAGAAACATCGACCTGGAATCGGCGACACATCGCCGACAGATCGGGGGCGGGCGGCCCCCGATAGCGAATCCGAACGGTCATGGGTATTGGGCGGGGCAGGCTATCTGGCCCCTATCGGCGATCAATGAGCGATTGGGAGTCGATGAATCCTCCCCTCTCCCCGAACGTGGGTGCCCTTGGACAATGACTCGTCCTTGTGATACGGTCAGACTGTGAGACGCATCCGCGCCCCTCGAAACCCTCTGAAATCTTCAGAAGTCCATCGGATGGGCGGCGGCAGCGGCGGCTGGTAAGCCTGCGGGTTGCGCACAGACAGCCCCCCCGAGGTAGTCCCAACTGGTCTCAACAGCTCAACTGACTACCTACCAGACCACCCCAACCCAATGCGAAGACCCGAATTTCGGGTTGGGGGGGTACGGGTCCCATGTGTGTGTTCTCAAGGTTCCCGGACCCCCACGAGGTCAAATTGAGGCCGTCCCAACATGACTATCTACCAGACCACCCCAACCCAACCCGAAGACCCGGATTTCGGGTTGGGGGGGGTACGGGTTCCATATGTATTTTTTCAATGTTCCCCGACCCCCCCCCCACTGGAAATGGAGGGCAAATCGGGGTCTTCGGGTTGGGTTGGGGTGGGTTGGTGGGTGGTGACAACAGGCCCCCCGAGTAGCCCCCGCTGACCTCAACAAGCACCCCGAGCAATGCAGGGCGGTCTCAACACCCTGGCGACGCCTCCGGAGGCCCCCCTGGGGCGCTCCGCGCCGCACGGCTGGGATGTTAAGACCGCTACTCGGGGAGTCTGCTGAAGCCAGCTTTAGGTCGGGCCTGTCCCCCTACAAGGGGACTTGGGGCGGAAAACTAAGAGTACTAACACAAATAATCCCCAAATGCGCAAAAACAACAGCAACAATCGTCCCCTGACTATTTTTGTTCTCGAAACTATGTTTGCAGATTCCTCCTGTAGAGGGACACGCCCGACTTCAGGCCAGCTCAGACTATCTATTGGGAGGCCTGTCGAGTCCAGCGGGGGCTGCCTGGCGGGGCTGCCTGTGCGCAGCCCGCGGCCTCACCCGCGGCGGCCACCCGCCTGGTAGGCGTAGCGGGTGTTGGCGTAGCTCCCGGAGCCCGCGGGCACGTCGCCGAGGATGCACGGGTCGTCGTGGTGCACCGGCGGGGAGCAGGAGGCAGAGCCCCGAAGGCGGGGCCAGAGTGTTGTGCAGTCTGAGCTATTGCAGCAGGTGTGGTGTGGTGCAGTCTGCGTGGTGCGATCCACGTGGTGCCATCTACGTGGTGCAGTATGTGTACTGGCACCTATGTGGTTCAATATATGTGGTGCAACTCATGCCAAGCAAGTTATGTTGTGCAATATCTGTGGTGCAGCATGTGTGAGTTGCAACTATTTGGAGTGCAGTCTATGCGGTGCATCGACGTGGTGCAATATGTGCAGTGCAATGAATGCGACGTAATCAATGTGGTGTATCTATGTGGTGTAATCTATGTAGTGGAATCTATGTGGTGCAACCTTATCTACTGGCATCTCTGCAGTGCTGTGGTGCACAATATGTGGTGCAACTTATGGCGTGCAGTCTACGTTTTGCTATAAATGTGGTGCAAAAAGTGCGATGTGCAACAATATGGTGTGCAATCTATGTGCTACAACCGGCGTGGTGCACTCTGTGTGGTGCAATCAACGTACCGGCATCGATGTGGTGCATTCTTTGTGGTGCAGTCGAGATGCTACAGTCTGTATGGTGCAACCTACGCAGTGGAACATATGTGGTGCAACCTATCTATGTGGTGCATTCCATGTGGTGCAATCTGGGCGGCGACGGGGTCGCGACGGCGACCACGGAACCGCTAGAACGCCAGCGTAGCCCAGACGACTGGCGGCGACGGCGACCACGAAGCCGCCAGACCGACTGTGAGGCCCAGACGACGGGCGGCCACGACAGGCGGAGACGTGGCGGCGACGGGGCGCACCCCGAAGCCGCCAGGCCGATTGTGAGGCCCAGAGGACGGGCGGCCGCGAGGCGGCGAGGTGGCGACGGCGACCTCGGAGCCGCCAGACCGCCAGCGAAACTCAGACGACTGGCGGCGACGAGGCAGCGACGGGGCGGCGACGGCGACCACGAAGCCGCCACACCGACTGTGAGGCCCGGACGTCGGCCGGCGATGGGGCGGCGACGGCGACCACGGAACCGTTCGGCCGCCACACAGGCCCAGAGAACGGGCGGCCACGAGGCGGCAGGGCGGCGGGGCGGAGACGGCGACGACGGAGCCACCGGACCGCCACAGAGGCCCAGCTCTTCACGACAGGCACATAAGAAACCAGGTGCGAGTAGTGTTTGGGGAATCCGTGCGGGTGTATGGGAGTATGACGCGCGTATGATTGCACCGAAGTGTAGATCTGAGGCAGACGGGGGACGAAGGAGACATGTATAAATATATATATATATATATATAATATATATATATAGATATATATATATATATAATATATATACGTAGCACCCCGGTAATGCG